CCCGGCCGGTGTTCGTCCCCCCAAAAAAGAGGGCCGCCGTATGACCGGCGAGTGTAAACAGAGTCGTTTCGTCGATGGAATAAGGCGGTGCTTCTCAAATAGGGGGGGGAGGGGGTCCCTGACTTACGTCGGAGTTCCGTTCCTATGACGTAACTTGATTTTCGCCAAGGTGGTGAGAACAAACTCAAAACCAAAAGTAACCGGCCCGTGTTCGTCTCCCCAAAAAATATGGCCGCCGTATGACGGGCGAGTGTAAACAGAGTCGTTTCGTCGATGGAATAAGGCGGTGCTTCTCAAATAGTGCGGGGGGGGGGGGGGGGGGGGAGGTGGGGAGGGGGAAGGAGGAGGAGAAGGAGGCGGGGGGTGGGCAGGTCACCGTCAGGCGCCATCTTACCGAGGGAAGAGGGAATGTAGAGTTCAACAGTAATTCCCCTTCATCTGCAGCCTGACCCATCTCGCATCCTCATAGCTCACATTCCCCAGAGCCAGTGTTTACCCTGCCCATCACAATGGACTTCAGCCTCCTTTATGACATATAACCTAATGGTGGACAGCAACCCACGTTTTATTATCAAAACTATCATTGTTATATTTCAAAGAACTGCGTCATTATCGCCGTCAAATGTTTCATTTTCAGAGCGAAACGTCACAAACACACAACAGACCATTGGACTAATATTACTTTGTTTAATTCCATTTATATTTCAGATTTGCAGTAGACATTAATCTATATAAATATATATATTAATTGTGCAAAGGTATATATATATATATATGTATGTATGTTTACACCTTTGCACAATTAATTCTGACAATTAATAATAAACAAATGCAACATGTCTCGTTTTCCACTGGCCAAACGAACAACCTGTTCTGAAGTACAGCGCTACCCACATGAAGACGCATACATTTCATTTTTGACCTAATTAGTACTCACAAGTACGCGTGTAATCTGGTTCAAATTCTTCAGACATAAAAAACAAAACACCGCCGAGGCAGTAGCTCATGTTGTCAACATTTCACAGTGGAGATTTACACCCAGCACATTCCTGTTTACACTATAACAAGCATTTGGACTGTGTGGGAATGCGAGGTAGTTTACATGAAGTCAAAGGAGGAATTTTTTTCTCTTCCTCTCCAAAGGAATAGTGTTGTTATAAAAACAACCCCGTTTAACCTACATTATGACATGTGGCTGTATGAGCTGGATTAAAGAAAACACGCTGTAAATTAGTGGAACAACCGCGAATGTTCTATGGTAAACAAATGGTTAAGTTGAAATAACTTCAATACTTTTGTATGGATTTTTTAAATTTATTTTTGAGGTTTATTTTGATGAATACAAAGTAAATATGATCTAATTATTTTAAATATTATGTACTCCCTAATTAAACCTTGACGTAATTGTAAAATTATATGACAGCGACATCTTGGCTGAATTGATGTAATTCTCTTTATTTTTCTCTCCTGTTACTTTGCAGCGGCATCTGCGTCCGAACCCGAGCTACTACTGTGACGGGATTCGACCGTGGACCCGCACCCTGTCTGGACACTGTTCCCTGTCCCCCCAGTTTCCGACGCAGATTCATCTTTTGGACGTTTTTTCCACTTCATCCTTCTGTTCTGAAACCAGATTTTGATCTGTCTCTCTGAGAGACCCACTTCACGCGCAATCTCCACCCTGCGCCTTCCGGTCAGGTACCGGCTGAGGTGGAACTCCTTCTCCAGCTCCAGGGTCTGGTACCGGGAGTACGTCTGCCGCCCGCTCCTGCGGTTTGATTCTGTTGGAGATCACATTATAAAGCGATAACTGTTTTGAGCAGTGACTTCATTGGGTGAAGGTCGCTGACCTTGACCTGTTGTGAATCATAGAAACTGGAAAGGAGAATGTGGGTGGAGTAGAGAGGGGGAAATGTGGACTCTTTGTGAGTTCAGGGGTAAGTGAATAATGTGTTAAGGAGCAGGGGCAACAGTGGTGCACGTGGCTTCTCTGCGAGGATTACCCCCGGCTTAGAAGTTAAAGCCATTCCCTGATTGGTCTTCCTGAAGGCATGCCATGCACTTCCAGCTCAACAAGTCGCTCGCTGGGATTTACACTTTTTTTTAAGGATGAGAGTCAGTGGTCAGAATGTGCAGCCGATTGTGCTCGGAGTCCTGAGTGTGACCTCCTGAACATGCCACAGGTGGGGAAGTTTGATGTCAACTGAAGGCAGCAGCAGCAGCAGCAGCAGCAGTATTGGGCACAGATGGGGCTTTCCAAAAGGCCGCGGCTGTTGGACTTTGCTAAAACCCCTGCCCACCTTCAGTTCAACAAGTATGTGCTAACGGGCTACAGGCCAGTGTCCACGGCTCAGGAGTGTCTCAGGAGCCTCTTCTATGTGCACAATGAGCTGGGAAACATTTATACCCATGGTAAGTCCACTAGCTTACTGTGGTCTTAGCTTTGAGTACTTTAGAAAATGTTAGGACTAGATGTTGGAACGTCACTTTTTTTTTTCCCACACCTGCGGGCTGTTCTGACTTTTGTCAGATTCTTACTCCGTTCATACCTCAGTGAAGGAGAAGAGTACACACACACATATATACGTGCACGACTCTCACTTGAGCCAGATAATTCCCCTTGTCAGGGGTGTGTAATGAGGATATGAGGCATTAGCTGTAATCTGCCCTGAGAATTTCTGCCCCAGAAATATCCCACAGTTAACTGGGGCAGCTGGAGAAATGACACCAGGCAATTTTAGAATTGAAGAAAAGGTCAATTATCCTGAGAAATATTCAGCAAGTAGACCGCAAAAATAATAAATAAATAAATAAATAAATATCTAAACAAACACACAAAGTAAATGCTTGAATAATTCACTTGATAGCGTCATTAAAAAATAAAATTACAATAATCACAATAAAATGTAACCCGCATGGAAACTAGGAGGAAGAAATGGCCATGGGTTGCTGTTAATTCAATCGAAAGTGTTAGATTAACATGACATGACATGACATGACATGACATAGCATAGCATAACATAACATAACATAACACAGCATAGCATAACACCGCATAACATAACATAACATAACATAACATGTAGGTTCTCAGTCATCCAGGTCATTTAATCCAAAAATAGTTACGTCGGGGGCCACTGGACAAAGTTGGGGTGTTTTTTAAGACGTTTCACCTGTCTGTTGCCCTCGATATACGTAACTTTTGGATAACATAACATAGCATAACACAACACAACACAACACAACACAACACAACACAACATAACATAACATAACATAACATAACCTAACACAACCCAACCCAACACAACACAACACAACACAACACAACACAACACAACATAACATAACATAACATAACATGTAGGTTCTCAGTCATCCAGGTCATTTAATCCAAAAATAGTTACGTCGAGGGCAACTGGACAAAGTTGGGTTGTTTTTTAAGACGTTTCACCTGTCTGTTGCCCTCGATATACGTAACTTTTGGATAACATAACATAGCATAACACAACACAACACAACACAACACAACATAACATAACATAACATAGCATAGCATAGCATAACGGATAGTGGAGATTAGAGGAACAAAGCCAAATACACAGGGAATAGAACTTAACTGAAAAAGTAAGACAGGCCAGTTATAATGTAATTTCATCTTATTATTAAAGCATTTTTTTATAATGTAATTTCATCTAGTTATCAAAGCAGTGTTTTTTCCAGCTTCCTCTCTGCGTGACGCCAACTCAGGAACAACTTTAGATAATAACCACACTCTACGGCCCTGAAGTCACAAATGAGGTTTCAAGCACTGACTGGACAACATTTCTGCTTCTCTCCCATCAGGCGTTCCCTTTTTACTCTTCCTGGTGCTGCTGCCGTTTAGCATCCCCTGGGCGGAGGTGGAGAGCATCTGGATCTGTGTGGTCCACTATCTGGCCTGCCTGTCACCCACGATGGGCTCTGTGGTCTATCACGTCTTCATGAACCACATGGGAGGTGAACACGTGTACGACACCCTGCTCTCTATAGACATGTTCGGGGTCTGCCTGGTCAACACCCTCGGTAGGTTGTATTTGGAGATTGTTAGTGATATTGCTGTGTTGTTATTTCACACTAGTCTCATTGAAGTACTGTAAATGCAATATTATGATATATATATATATTATAAAAAGTCAGTATATTACAGTAATCAAATAATATTAATTGTGATTTCTGATCACTGTATTACTGTAATATGCTTACTTTTACTCATGTCCCACTACAACGAAGGAGTTCCTCAACTTTTATCAACGTTGCCACACGTACAAGTGCAAGAGTAATATTTGTATGATATTTTACTCTATCATGGAGAACAAAAACCTCTTAAGGAGGGGCCATAGGCAGGTTAAGGAGTATTTGGCCAGGGAAATGTATGGAACGAACTAGCTAGCTAGCTAGATGGATAGATGGATGGATGGATGGATGGATGGATGGATAGATAGATGGATGGATGGATAGATAGATGGATGGATGGATAGATAGATGGATGGATGGATAGATAGATGGATGGATGGATAGATAGATGGATGGATGGATAGATAGATGGATGGATGGATAGATAGATGGATGGATGGATGGATAGATGGATGGGTAAATGAATAGATAGATGGATGGGTAAATGGATAGATGGATGGATGGATGGATGGATAGATGGATGGGTAAATGAATAGATAGATGGATGGATGGATGGATAGATAGATAGATAGATAGATGGATGGATGGATTGATAGATGGATGGGTAAATGGATAGATAGATGTATGGATGGATAGATGGATGGATGGATGGAGGGATGGATGAATGGAGGGATGGATGGATGGAGGGATTGATGGATGGATGGATGAATAGATAGTTAGATAGATCGTAATGCTTTCCTTTTTTACGAAAACCTTCAAATATGAGGCTAACAAAAAGCTTACGTTTCATGTTTATAGCTAACTAATCACTAGCCAACGACTTGCCAAGACAATGGTGTTAGTGACTTGGTACCATTCCCTTTCTTACTAGGAGCACTTCCCATCATTCACATCACCTTGCTTTGCTATCCAAGCCTGCAGTGGGCGGCCATATTGGCCTACGTCCTCCTGTCAACCTACGGGATCTACTGCGCCACCACGGCACGCACCAACATTCTGCGCCTGCGAGCTTTCGTCTGGCAGGCTCTGTTTCGCTTCAGCCTCTTCCTGTTCCGGGTGTACGGCGGTGGCGTTGGCAGCCCGAACTCGCTGCGTCTTTTTATCATCATGGACACGCTGGCCGTACTGGGAGGACTGGTGAACATCGTACAGATCCCCGAGCGCTTTGGCCCGGGCCTGTTTGATAACTGGGGCAACAGCCACCAGATAATGCACGTCATGGTTATCTGCTCCATCGTATACCTGCACTGGGGGACAGTGGAGGACTTAGACTGGATCAAGAACTACAGGTGCCCGGCACTTTAAAACCCATTTTGGCATTGACGAAACCATTTACGTAGCAAGGCTATTCAAGCTATTCAAGTTCAAATGTCTTTTCCCAGAGACATGGTGGCATTCGAAAAGCACAGCTTCAGTGGCGTACCATGTATTCCTCACCTCAGCGGTGTCCTACCGAAATAAATCCACATTCTAATAACTTCATCACGTCTACAGAAACCATCGATGTCATGCAGGAAAGCAGCAAAACAAATCGTTAGCTATCCTAGCTAACTCATGTAGCCATAATAACATTAAAACGTTCGACTACTGTACACAAAATCCACAGAGATTATCACTACGCTCCATCAGGTTCTTTACTATCTTCCACCATGCTAATGCTGAAAGTCCAGTCTGTCCTGTCGTATTTATGGCGTTAACGTTTTAAATCGCTTTAGGCCAGTAGTTCTCAAATAGTGGGGCGGGGCACAGTGAAGTGCCAAGAGGGGGCGTGAGGGGCTTCCAATGGAATATGGCACGCTTGACATAAGTGTCTACCACTGCTGTAATGTTTGAACGATAACAAGCCTCCAGTCACTAGGTGGCAGCAACTCATACAGTGGTTTGTACAGATAAAAAAATGTATGTAAAAATGATGTAAAAATATACATCATCTGGTTCTCAGCAGTATTTCAATTCGCAGGGGTGTGGGTCGGAGGTGGCGTAAAAACATTTCTGTCCACAAGGGGGCGCATGACAGAAAAGAATTAAGAACCACTGCTTGAGGCTGAGAATGTCCGCTCGACAGAAGCAGTAGACAGTAGTTCGCTAGGTTCTAGACCGTGTTCTTTGACCATCCAATCAAATCACTCACATCGCCAACATATCTGTACGCCAGCTAGAAGGCCTTGATGATGCCAACTAAAAATCTGATTGGTTCAAAGAAACTATCCCAGTGCACACTCTACTGATTCAGAAGGCCTTAGGGCAGATTTCTTTCACCCTGGCAACACAAAACTGAAATATGATTGGATAAAAAAAAATAAAAAAAATCAATGAGGTCAGACCAGTGAGGGCCAATGACACACTGTACAATGCACTCAATGATGTCAGACCAGTGTGGGCCAATGACACACTGTACAATGCACTGTAGCCCTAGGTGCTGATGTTCTTCAGAAGGGAAGCTTTTTTTTTTACATTTGGAGAGAGAGAGAATAAGAGAAACTCAAGAGTTGTAACGTTTCTCACCCCGCTTGTTTTTTTTTTTTCCGTTCGTTGAAATGCAGTAACGTTGGTAAAACGTAACACCGATGTATTGACAAGGTGGGTAATTTTAAATAAAAACAGAAATGAAATGTGATAAATTCTATTTTTATATCGCCCTCTAACTTGTAATTCGTTCCGTGTAGTTAACGTGACAAAGGAGAAATACCTTTGGACGTTGAATGCTTCTGTTGTTTAATTAAAAGAGTATATTTTACACACATGTGGACCCTTGATTATCGATTCATGTTGCTTGAAGTTCCTCTCACGAGCACAGTCTGTTCGCCACGCTAAACGCTAAAAAACTCCAAACGCTGCTTTTGATCAGGTAAAACCAGGCCACGTCTGAAGTGTTTTTCTGTAATTCATTACGGCCACGTCGCATTCAACCACGTCAACAGTATCTTTTCCCGCAGTCGGATCGGCCGTTCGGCGGCTCAGTCCTCGTCCGAGCTGCTCCCTTCTTCGTCCTCTGAAAGATCAGCGATAGGAAATCGCAAGATGGCCGCCACTCCACTCAGCTGAGTAAGTTCTGGGGGGGAGGACAGGCGAGGATAAAAATGTAGTAACTGTAACCGTGGTCTGTTAAATGCAAAGAAGATACATTGCACGAGACTTACGTTCACCGGACACATGAAGGCTTGAGAAAATTCTGGAATGAAGAAAAATGATTGATGATAATTAATAACAATGAAATGCTGCCATTTTCACTCAGTGAGAACAACCAGCGCTTGCGGTACCTGACAGTGCCACCGTTATCTCTGACGCTGTCCACGAGGCGCACGTAGCGGTTTCTCGTGGGGATATCCTGATGTCTGAGTGCAAACACAACGATGTACTTTCATTTTAAGCACATTTAAGTTGACAGGTTGGAGGTGCAGTGCAAATTTAAATTGTTCTTTTTTTTTTTTTTTTTTTTTCCTTCTTCCAGCACGTACCTGAAAGTATTGTCACTTATAAGCAGGGTGTCGACTGCAAGGGCGTCGGCAGCTTTCTCCACATGGGCAACGCTGTGATGACGCAGAGATATAGAAACGTTGGATCATGTGATGAAATCAGATCAGACATGCATGCGTTCAAAACAGAGGAAATGACCTTTGTACAGTCTATGTAAAGGTGGAACGTAAAGAATGACATTTAGTCAAGTTACTGTGACTGAGTAGTTTTTTTTTTTTTTTAGTAATTTGTAAGCAGTTTTGCGTAAAGGTAATATTAGTTTCACTTAAATACATTTTGTCTCATGTATTTTTTTACTTTCCTACATTGGAAAAGAACCTGTTACCGGGTAAAAAAAAAAGTAATGCAGGGAAAAACAATCAAGTTAAATGAAACAAAATTGCCTGGGTGTTACAGGCATTATTCTATTTATTTTATTTTTTACATTATTTTACTACAGTTCCGCGTTTATATTTCGACTCACCCATAGAAAGCTCGGTCAGGTTCGTGCTGCAGCATCTTATAGAAATCCTCCAGGGCTTTCACCTCTCCAGCTGCCTGAACAACACAGAGAGACAAAACACAGCAGTTTACATAGTGGCCAGCCACCGGGTTTCACAGCTCAGATTTTTGGATTAAAGCAGAACGGCATAGAGTGGCTGAAAAACAAGAGGTATAATCACCTTAGTATCTGAAAGTCTACTTGTCACGGCGGGATCAGACAGGATTTCTAAACAGCAACGAAACCAAGAAAGTTCACGGAGTTCGTTGGATGTATTTGAAAAGTCTTATCTTTTTTACTTCGTGGCCTGGCGTAGATCCTCTAACCTTTGAGTGAATACTTGTGACCTGACGAAGCGTGGACCAGCATAAATTTAGGTCTATTCTCAAGCAGAACTTTGTTGTCCTGTCGCACTGCCTCTTTATAAAGGTAGGTGATGAACTGGTCCTTCACGAAGCCTGGACTGCCAACCAGGATACACTTCACCACTGTGTGAGACAGAAAAGGAGTCACCTGGTGAAAACATGGCATTATAACTGTAATTTCCGGACTACTGAGCGCACCTGAGTATAAGCTGCATCCAATAAATTTAAATGCACCCACTAAAATTTAAAACAAAAAATAAAAAATTGCACATATATGTATAGGCTGCACACAGAAGGTTTTTTAATTAAATAAAATACAATTTTAATTAAATAAATTCCTTTTTCCGAACAGTGCCTGTAACACGGCTGGTTACACGTTAGCTCTTTCCTGTTACGGCGCCCCGACCGTAGTTGGAATGAACAGGGGAGACTTAGTGATCTGCTCAAGGGCCGAAGCTAACATTAGCTAGCTAAGGGCTAACTCTCTGCACTTGCAGCAGAGGTAAAAACAGAAACAGGGAAGTTGGGGTCTTCATTATCAGACACTCCGACCACAACAGAACATAAACAGTGTTTTAACAGCTCCTCTATAACCAACTCACGCTTCAACATTCAAACTGCTCTCAACTTTAGCTACCAATCTCTCTCTTGCGTGCCCTACCCATATATACGCACACAGCCAATCACAGACAGACAAACAGTAGCCTACCAGAAAGGTCATTGATCGCTAGCCGGAAATTACGGTATATCAAGAGATGTCAAAAAAATGCTCCTCCTCTACTATCCCTCCACTTTAAAGTAGAAAACTACTGAAATCCAAAGATATCAAAACACAGACCACTGCACTTTATCTGAGTACGACTGCATACAATGGGGTCCGCAATTTACGCCGTCCTCGACCTACAGTGTATTAAGTCTAGTTGCATCATTCTGACATAGAGCATTAAAAGCCGGGAAGCGGACGAATATGTTGTCACATGCAGCTATACGCTGAAGATGGCTTTGTTTACATTTGCCAGTTGTACGCCATAATTTGGATTGTGCCATTTTCTGTCATGCCCCCCCTTGGGGACAAAAAATGTTTGCCATCCTAGTCTAGTTCCATCATTCTGACATAGAGCATTAAAAGCCGGGAAGCGGACGAATGCGTTGTCACATGCAGCTATACGCTGAAGATGGCTTTGTTTACATTTGCCAGTTGTACGCCATAATTTGGATTGTGCTATTTTCTGTCATGCCCCCCCTTGGGAACAAAAAATGTTTCACTCCCCTGCCCCCAAACCACACCCTTGCAAACTGAAATACTAGTGAGAACCTGATAATGTGTATATTTCTTTTCTGTACAAACCACTGTATGAGTTGCTGCCACCTAGTGACTGGAGGCCTGTTATCATTCAAGCTTTACAGCAGTGGTACACTTATGGCCCCCACCCCACTATTTGAGAACTGACAGATACAGTTATTAAGTACCAACAGTGTAATCTTGCCAGTGCACAAACACCAACAATCACTGGAGTCTTAAGCCGCACCATAGCTTGGGTGACATTTGTGTTTTCCAGCAGTAAACTTTGTAAAACCTTTAATCTTTGTTTTTGTACACACTGCAGAAAAACAAAAAGAATTTTAACATTACCATCAAAATTGATGTGACGTAGAATTGCTTGCATCACAGCCTCGTAGAACCTCTCGAGTGCCTGCGAATATACACACACACAAAAAAAACACTGTTTCAGCTACAGTACATTTAAAATGAGATACCTTTACCTAGAGTAAAACGTGAGTTAAAAACAAAGGATTTTACTTTCACTTTTACTTTCTCAACGTCGGCCGACAGTACATATCTAATCCTTTAGGGAACAGATTGCAATATTGTTCAACACTGACTTTGAGGGTACCTTAAGCGACCTCTGGTCATTGTATAGAAGTATGCATTTGGATCCGATATTCTCTGATTAAATAGAGCAGGTACAACATTATGGTTTTATAAAAACATGTTTTCTAAACAACAGAGGGACAACATTTAGGTAAATAAAGCAGCAAACTGTGATTAGTCCGTAGTAACTCCCAAAAGAACAAAGTGCATTTGGCACTTGGAAAGAAGTTACCTTCTCATGCTGAGTGCAGCTTCCTTTTCTCTTTCGGGGAATGGTGACCTCCACTTTGGCACGAAGAAGAGTCATGGCAGGTGTAACTAGAACCACATTGGCCAGACCCTCCTGCATCACCACAGCTGCCACATCTGCTTTCTGGGCTGGGTCGCATGCTTGCTCTGAAGGGTGAAAAGAAGGGACAGTTGATCTCAGGTAGTCCACAGCTTGTGTTGATATAAAAACCAGAGAAATGTAGAGATTTGCTCAATATATATAAATATATATGAGTAGTATTATGTTATATAATGTATAACATATTATAATAAATATTATCATATAAAAAATTCCACTTCCACCAGTATCTGCACTAATAACAATTAATCTTATATTAATTTAAATATATATAAGTAATATTATGTTATATAATGTATGGCATATTATAATAAATATTATCATATAACAAATTCCACTTCCACCAGTATCTGAACTAATAACAATTAATCTTATATTAATTATATATACATACATACATACATATATACACATATATGCATACATAGATGTATGCATATATATATTTACATATACACACATATGTATACATATATACGTATTTACACATATACACACACACATATGTATACATATATATACACATATACACACACACACATATGGACATACTAAAACTAGTACGTAGATACATACGACTGAAACTGAAATTCTTTCCACTTTTATGATAATAATGATAGTCAGAGGTAAACAGTAATGCACGCTCACCAATTCTATCCAGCACGACGCTGTCCCAGTTTTTCTTGGCTAACGTAAACTTCCTGTTAAGTTCAAGTTCAATAGTGTGGTATGCTCCCAACTGAAAAGCAGAGGACACGACAAAGATGTAGTCAAAGAAGATCATACAAGAGCACTCCGCCTATAAAAAAGACTCTCCCAGACTGTTTTCTGTCTTCAACATGACAGACCTTGACATATTGGTTCTCCTCCAGGTTTGTCCCCTTTACTCTCAGCTGGCATGCTTGGGAGTCGAAGTCAATTGCTTCCACACATAAAGTAAGAGTAGTGCGAACTCTAGAGCTGCCCACACTTCCTGTGGTGGACTCGGTTTGCACCTTCCTGGGGTAGAAAGGAATATAGAGAATAAACACGGAACGTGGATTTGGATGATATCGGAATTTATTTATATAGCATTTTTTTCTTTTTTTATGAATGGAAAGATTGATTGATGATTTAGAAGAAAAAAAAAGCCTTCCTCACCTTATAGTGGATGCTCTTAGGCTGTCCCTCACCTGCAGCAGGTTGTAGGTGTGCCACATGTCCTCTGCTTCCTCTGGCATAAGGGTCACCTGACTGAAGGAATAAGAGATTTGTGGATGAACCAGTTGTAGTCCTTTTATGTTAAACCGTTAAGATTATAGATATGTTATGGTTGGAATATTGAAACACATACATCAAACTTCTGTTATTTTGGTTTCTATTCCAACAATACATAAACAAAATTAAGGTTCCTATATATTATAGTAGTAGTAGTTTTTTAATGTATAACAATTAGATACAAAGCTTTACTGTGTGTTGTTTTGGCAAAAGTAGTTTTTTTTTAGTAAGTTGTAAAGTATTTTTCTGAAGTTCATAATTTTAAGGTTGTAATGTATTTTTCTGAAGTTCATAATTTTAAGAAATGTATTCTAATTCCAAAGTACAATTTTAAACTGCACTGCTTGTGCTTATACTATTAAGCTACAAACTCTGTATTGTGGTTTCTAAATTACTGCTTAATACTCTGGGTTGAAAAGTTAGCCATTTTGTTTTTCCAGAATTCGATTTTTTTTTTACAAGATTATTATTATTATGTTTTGTCTAACTGTATCTGTTGTTGAAACGACAGTTTGTACATAAGCAGTATGTTGTTTTCTTTTCTCACTTCGAGCCCGTCAACGCCAATGCACCATTCCAATTTAAATATCTTCTGACATAACAATATATTTCCTATGAAGCGTCCAATCTGTCTTTAATGTGAACTAGTTGCTTCTTTTTTTTGCTACATATGGAATACAGTCGCATGTCTCCACACGGTCGTGTACACTGGTAAAGCTACATGTTGAAGTTAGCTCAGCAAAATCACTCACCCGGCATTGTCTTTTTCTATGTCTTTATGAAGCAGCTTCATGTTGGAAATAGTTATGTGCAAACAAAAGTGTTATAGAAAAGCAGGTAACTTGTTTTTTAATAGACTACAAGTCATGTTTGTGTTTCGGTAAAGTGTCACGCTAGCGAAGCTCAGCCATCTAGGTGCTTCAGAATGAATCACCCGTTGCGTGTAGGCTTTCCACAGGCGCCGGGACATTGCGTCATGTCGTCAATCCATCCTATTCGGTTCACTTCCGTGGGTGTCGCTCGACCGCGTAATCAATACGAAACGACGGAGATCCGGGCATTTGCGTAGATTGGGGCGTATGCATTCGATTGTACATTGTTGGGTGTGTATTATTCACGAGAGAGTAAAGGTAAAATACGTATTAGAAAGGTTACTTTTCCAATGTGATTTGATACGCGTAATCGCTGATGGACTTTGAAGACAGCCAATTCAAAATGACCGTGACTCGCTAAAGTCCCGCCCCAGACTAAATTGTCCAATGGGAGTGATGTCACGTTTCTGACCATTTCCGTTCATCCTGGGTTTTCAGCTAATGCTTATTTAGCCTTTTTTCGTCAATGGCATGGTGCTAATAGTTGCTGCTGATATATAACCAGGGCGATTAAATACGATTATTTTACACGAATTTCTTATGTAACTGATAACAGTTGACCAATGTGGATTTCTGAAGTGCGTCTTAGCTTTTACACTTTCAACATCTCGGCCTCATTTTTTGAGGTTGTAATCTGTGCTCCAAGGTTAGCACGGTAGCGGGCTAACAGTAGCCGATTAACATTAAATTAGTTGATCTTGGGTTCACACGGTAGATAGATAGTTCCAAGGTTACTAAATACTTAACTTATAGAAGCTTTTGTAGACGTTACTCGATTAAGAATACCTAAGCATGGCTGAACCCGACAAATTGAACATCGACTCCATCATACAACGCCTGCTGGAAGGTAAGACACGGTATTTCGGTCGATATTTCTGTACAATAAAGGTAGCCATCTTGGCTAACGGAATAACACAGTAACCCCTGTTGTGCTACTTACGAAACTTTGTTCGGAAAATACTGCTCACAAAGCAGTTTATACGTTAAAAATGTGACGACAAGGCGCCAATTTGAAATGTGTGTGTTTGTTTATCCAACAAAGTAGTGGTATAATTAGATTGTCTCGTGAGCTTGGCCGATAGCTGATATCCTGTACATTGGTTTCGTAAACGAGGAATTAGACACGAAAGATGTAAATTTAACGATCGGGAATTATATTATTTATTTAAGTAATAAGACTAAAGTTAAACACATTTTTTGTGTGGTACAGGGCATACCTGCATAGCTTGTTAAATCCACAGCCACTAAATACACGGGCAATGTTGTGGATCTCCATTTACGCACAGTATCAGCAAATATAACTTGGTAAATAGAAATTGTTATTTATATTTTTCCCTTTCATTTAAAAAAAAACAAAAATGTATTTTTTTGTTTTTGAGTAATCAGGTCAACACAAATGTATCAAGAATGTAAGAGCAGTAGTTACAGGTTATGAATGTTAATAACACAGTATACATAACAGCCTCGTAATTCATTATTTGCACAAAAGCTCAATATTCGAGTTAAACTGTTCAAAACATTCGTTACTAGAATAAGTAGGAATCATTTTGTTCATGTGTTCCATATGTATCTATATATATGTCGTTTAAGTCTGCAATCCAATGTTTGCAATGTAAATTCAAAGAATGTTTTTTTTTTTTTTTGTCCTTTTCACACAGGGCTCAAGACCTGGTAAAAATGTTCAACTGACAGAGAATGAAATCCGTGGTCTCTGCCTCAAATCCAGGGAGATCTTCCTTAGCCAGCCAATTCTTCTTGAGCTCGAGGCACCCCTTAAGATCTGTGGTAAGAATGAGTCGGTTCCATACAATTAAAGAAAATTGAAATGGCTGTATCGTACAGTGAATTAATTTAAAACTGAAATTATTAACCATTGTTAAATAAAAAAATCTTAAATGTTAGATTAAATTTTTATTGTTTAAAGGAACTGTTTAATGCCCTCCGCACTTTACCGTATGCAGTGTAACTATACTTCAGTCAGAGTTGCTCTAATGGCAACACTAAATGCAAAGCTTGCACATTTTATTAGTTGTTGCAACAATACAAAACGAGTCAGGCAACCTTGGAACAAGAGTGTTTATATGTAATTGTGCACTGGAAACAATTTTGATGTGCATTGTTAAGACTGTTGGGGGAAAAAATTGCGCAAAGTTGTTGTGCCAGCATCTGAGTCCAATACCTTTGTTGTGCTGTTAAACACAAGAATATCCGACATTTGAGCAGCAACGCCGTTACTATTCTAACACTGTCTTTTTCACCAGGTGATGTTCATGGGCAGTACTATGATCTGCTCAGGCTGTTCGAATATGGAGGCTTTCCACCAGAGAGCAACTACCTGTTCCTGGGGGACTATGTAGACAGAGGCAAACAATCTCTGGAAACGATCTGCCTGTTGCTGGCTTACAAGATCAAATACCCAGAAAATTTCTTTCTGCTCAGAGGAAACCACGAGTGCGCCTCCATCAACAGAATATATGGCTTTTATGATGAATGTAAGTCAGAAAATATGGAAAAGTGTCAGCAATATTTAACCCTTTTTCTCCTTTTGTAGTTAATAGTAACAAAAAAAAACTATATATCTTTGTGTTGTATCCCTTTGTGTTTTTATCTCTAATAACAGATTTGATGTCAGTTGTGAGCCTGATAGTTTGCCTGCTCTCCCCCTGTGTGCTAGTCTGTCCTCTGGGTACTCATTACGGGTTTCATTACAAAGTCCAAAAAATGCACAGGAACTAAACATTAGTTTTCTAACGAGTGATCTTTACGTCACTGTTTGATTGGTTGGTTCTAACAAAAATCGATTTCATTTCATTGTAGTTTACTCTTTCGAATGCAATAAAATAAAGTGTAAATGTGTTACTTAAATTCTCCAGCATATTACGGTATTAATCTTAAAGACCAGAACACAAAATACCTTGCGAATATAAAGTAGAAAAACAGGTTTTCCTTAATCCACGTGGATGAGTATACCAATGTAGTTTAAGTAGTGTAATCAATAGGCCCATGTGTACAATGTAAATTGGCTACTTACAGCATTATTACCTCAGTAACGGGAAAGGGGGTTTTTCTACGCAAAATTGAGGTTTGGAAAATTCAATTAGCAGGGATGTGGGTCAGGGGGCGGGAACCTTTCTGTCCCCAAAGGGGGATGTGACAGAAAATAATTAAGAACCACTGACTTAAATGGTGAGGTATGGCAATGAAGCTTCAACACAAGTGACCTCTTGTGGTTTAAATGTAATTTTAGCAATTGGTGAGATTGCATAGGAATTTATGAGCAGATTAGATTCTAACCAATTGATTCCGATTGTTTCTTACAGGTAAGAGGCGATACAATATAAAGCTTTGGAAGACCTTCACCGATTGCTTCAACTGTTTACCTGTTGCAGCCATCGTGGATGAGAAAATCTTCTGTTGCCATGGAGGTATCCGAGCAGATCTATCGCTTTTGTCCCTAGTGTGCACACGCATGATAAAAGTCAGCGTGTCTTTCATTTTATAATAGTTTGAACCTAATCCATCCCACACTGTTGAATTACTGATTTGGATAAATATATATCTCTGTTCCGCAATTCCTACATTTGGGTTGCTACTTTCCTTTATACAGTTAGATCTGCTCTTCTATCTCTCTTTCCTCCAATCAGATTATGCCCTTTAACACTTTTTTTTTCTCGTTAGTCATGTCCCTCCCTTTTTCCCTTCAAATCAGATCCTTTTGGTTCACATAAAACACATTAGAATTTATGACCTTCCAGTTCCAGATGATTAAGCGACCATTCAAACGTCTTTATCTTGACAATGTTGCAGCTGATTGCAGTCATGCTGTACTGGAGTTTAAACGCATTCTTCTGAATGCACAATTGACATTTAACTAAGCATGGGACTACACGAGACTACACTGTTGATGCTAGACATTTAAAATACGCTAGATGGCGCTTTGGAACCGTTTTTCAACGCCCACCGCTTCAAAGGTTTTAACTCCGTTAATTGTTGTTCATTGATAACTGCTAATTGTTCAGGTGTCAGGTCGGAGGTTAACTAGTGCTTGAAGTGTTTAAAGGGAAGCATTTACAGCAGATTATTACGTAGCAGCAGATATTATCACTCTGGCATTTCATTTCAGTTTGACCTGAAACAAGCCTGACTTATTGATGACCAAAAAGACAACCTATGCAATATACATGTAGGAAGGATCTCCTATTTATGAGAGGAAACGGAATACTTTTTAAACATTGATGTGCACCAGTCATTGCACTATAACACTAGAGTACTTGTTAACACATTGTGTAATTGTGGTCTTCTGAAGTAAATATTTTTGGATTGTAACAATTGAAACAATTCTAATAATACTATTGTTGGTGATAACAATAAAATACACTTCATTACCACCATTATTAATAATAATAATAATATAATGATATTTCTATTCATTGTTATCAACATTTTCATATTATTTATTGTATTTCTTTAAATACATGGTGTCTTATCAGTTGTCATTAACACCATTTCCATCGTTTTTTTTTTTCCCCACAGGACTGTCTCCAGACCTCCAGTCCATGGAACAAGTGCGGAGGGTGATGCGCCCCACTGATGTTCCCGATCAGGGCCTCCTGTGTGATCTGCTCTGGGCTGACCCGGACAAGGATGTCCTGGGCTGGGGCGAGAACGACCGCGGCGTCTCTTTCACTTTCGGTGCTGACGTTGTCACAAAGTTCCTCCACAAACATGACATGGACCTCATCTGTCGAGCCCATCAGGTCAGCATGGAAACTAAAGTCTCTGGTTTGATCCAAGTCTGTGAGTGAAGACGAGTACAGCAGACAAAGCAAGAAGTGCCAAGAGTAACCCTTAGTCAATTAGTAGGAAGACGTTTCCAGATGAAGGTCTGTTTAGGTCCAACGGTATTTCTGTCTAGTGAACTGTGTCCAGATGTTAGTGATTATTTGAAGCAGAGCAGTCAGGTGGAATTGCTGAGGTTCTGGGATGGCGTCTGTAGCGCAGCGGGACCAGCTTAAAACCAGCTTACCGCATCAACACAGTTGAGCTCAGTTTTGCAGACGACAGGTAGGCAGTGCAAGCGGAGGAAATGAACGTATGTATGTAATAATGTGTGTTGGATTGTCCTTTCTCAACAAATGCACACATTGGCGAGCAATTGCTTACGATGCTTTTTCCATTGCAGGTGGTTGAAGACGGATACGAGTTCTTTGCAAAGAGGCAGCTGGTGACACTGTTCTCGGCTCCGAATTACTGCGGTGAGTTTGACAACGCTGGAGCCATGATGAGCGTGGATGAAACCCTCATGTGTTCGTTCCAGGTAAGCTCAAATGAATCTTACGGTCTGTATTTTAATTAATTCTCAGATATTGGAAATACGTCTACTACTTTTTACTTAAGTGTTTCAGGAACTGAATGGCTTGACCGTCAAGGACAAAACGAGGAATGGTGTGATGAAATATCATGGTTGTAAAATCAAACCAAAGTTCCTACAGTTAGTAGTATTGCCTTTCTGTGAATGTTCAGGTTAGGTCCAAATATTTTTCAACATGCTCCTAATAGGTCCTGCTATTTTGACTTACATGCTTTGAACCCATTAACATTAAATGCAAAATATAAATCATATAAATCAATTGCAAACAGCATATTTTTATTTCATCACTTGGATGGCAAATTTTAAAAAAGGGCTTACCAAAATCAGTGACCTTTCATAACTGAAGGCCATATAAAATATATACAAGTACGATTGGCCTAAGATTCAGAATTCATGACAGAAGCTGCAGGCCATGTAAAATTTGACCACGGGCCGTAATTGGCCCCCAAGCCAAACTTTGAATGTGCCTGATTTAGGTAAATTGTCAAAAATATTAAGAATAAATTTTTTTTTTTTTATATTTATAAATATATATTTACATAAATATATATTTATATAAATATATGTATATATATATATATTTATATAAATATATTTATATATATATATATAAAACCCTCCTCACACACTTTCCTTTATAAACCCTGATCATCTGTGCGAACAAATGTGAGGTTACTGCTTTCTGTGGTTTCAGTTTATTTAATGTTGCTGTGCTGCTGTTTTCACGCAAGGTTCTGAGGTTTCTTCATTTCCCGTTCACAGATTCTCAAACCTGCAGACAAGAAGCTGTTTTATGGTGGCGGCGGGGGCATGGGCTCCGGTCGTCCAGTTACCCCTCCAAGAAAAGCTAAGAAATGACAGCAGTAGTTTTGCCCTCGACTTCCAACCGACCCCTCCTGCCCTCTCTACCTCTTTTATCCTTTCTTTCACCAAACAGCCAGAAATCAAACCTATACCCAGGGCTTTTATTTTTTCCTTTTTTTATCTGTACTTCTTCTTAAAACATTTCATGTTATAAATTGTCCGAGTGAGTGCATTCGCAGATGACGACGTGTCCTCTGCTGTTGATCATTGAAATCACGTGTGCATGTGTTCGTTCCGTGTGAGGGTATTAGAGATTTATGCTTTCCACTCTCTCTGACCACTCTTCTCCATGAAAAGGTTGAACCACAGTGTCTGTATCTGTACAGTGATTTTAGACTGAAACGACAGGGTTTGGGAGACAACTGACAAAGTGCTGGACAAATGACGCAGCATCTAAAGACCCTGTCATTTGCAACACAGGTATACTGTATGCAGGTGGGAGCATGTGTGTGCGCGCGCGCGCGTCGGCACGCGTGTGCGTGCGCATGCTGTGCATTACCTCTTCCTGAGTGTTATTTCGGAGTTGACTTTGCCTCAGAAGAGTAATCATTTTTGCTCATTGACCCACATGCATGCACACACACACAAACACACAAACACACACACAAACACAAACATGTGACTTAAGTTTGTTTTGAGCCAGAGCTGTAAAAACCCCATACAGTTTAGGTTTGTACAGATTTGATTACTTGAAAGAGATTTTTTGTGAATTCGTTTTGTAGTCTTTCATCAAGTTGACCAATAAAGCGAGAATTCTGAGCTGTACTGTCTATGTGCTTTTTTCCTAATTGTATACAGGTTTATGATGCTAACACGGCTCGGGAAATAATCGGGTCACGATTCAAGTGAAGAAATCCAGGGTCTTCAGTTTACGTTTTTTTTTTTGTTTGTTTTTGTTTTGTCTTATATAAAGAAGTAATTGCGAACTGTGACTTTTTTTTTGATGCACAATATACACTTTAATCATCATCTACAGCCCAGTCCAAGTTAGTAAAACTTTGAACTCCAAGTCATTGCTGCTGGCATATTTAGAAGTTATAGTAGCAGACATGTATATCTGTTGCCCTCGTGGTGGCAGCAATGAGCTCCGAAGAGCCATGAGAACCATGAGGCAGCTGAGACACTGGCCTCCATGTCTCACTGAAGCACAATGACTTAACATATTGGTGGAATGTTAAGTGTCTGTTGTACCGTGCCTCTAACTGTGATATGATGTATAAAAAAAAATCTGATCGTCTACATTACTATACCGTGGTGCTTCTTTTTGTGCTTGGCCCCGTGTTGTTGAAACTGGTGAACGTAGAACAGAGCCGGTATCTATTTTTATCAAAAAAAGGATCCGGTTTCTTTCTTCGGCATTTCTCAGGTTCTTTTTGCATTCATTCATCTTCCTGTCATCAACACCCTTCTTAAGTCTGTCACTGCGCCTTCCCTTTACAGGACCAATGAGCTGAGAGATGAAGTGCACAGCTGTAGGGGCTGAGACTTGGACTTTGAAAATGATCGAAAAACTAAAATAAATACGCTTCGCCTTTAGTGTGCTCCAGACTTGAAACAGGAGGAAAAGTCTTATTAGTGCTGTTATCTGTGGGGGTTTTTTTCTCATAGTATACTGAAATAAAAACTACTGCACTCATTTGCATTTTGAAAGAGGGAGGGGTCGTCCGTCCTTGTTCTCTTTGCAATACAGTCCTTTGTACATATATAGCATGTCAAGGGACATTGAAGGTCAATGCAATTGGTCGGTGATGAATGTGAAATTTCTCGTTTCACGTTTCTCCGTTTCACAGTGTGTGTCGCTCATTGAGCACCAAAAATACTAACTCGGCCTTATACACTTTGTCCAAAATGAATCTGTTCAGTACTACAGTTAAATAAAAACCAAAATCCTCTGATCCAGATCTAATTGAACCCAAACACAGCAGCGTTTGTTAACAGCAGCGTTTAGAGCAGTCCCGGCAATCAACCGCAAAATACTGACGGTTAGATAAGCCATTATAAATAGACAAGACGTCGAGGATGTAGGGTAGCTCCAAGAGTTCATATTTCACGGGATACCAAATGCTGCGCATACTAGTTCATACGGCTGTAAAACTCAACTGTAATGTTATAGTATATATCTAAAATACCTCATTCAAATATAGAGCAAAAGGGAAAGGAATACGTTAACAAAAAGTTTTATATATGTACTGTATATTTATGTGTATCATACATTAATATATATATATACATATTATTATAATAATATATATATTAATGTATATATAATATACATACATTAAGTGTGTATACATACATATATCAATATATATGTATATATTTGCATTATATATGTATTTTTGTTAATTGATTAATAACAAATTGTCATGTTACGGTCAGATTAACGTGCACTCGATATCTAGTAATTCTACGTTTTGTTGCTCTAACACACGTTATTGGCGGGGCGATGGACGCAAATGTTTTAGTTTCACCAAGCACTACAAGTTTAAATTACCATCTCAATGCCCAGCATGGGTTTGTCGAGGTTTCTTTTATCCAACCGCGTTGTATTAAGTGTCATCACTGTCAGTATGTTCGGATTTTTTAAAATTTTGCCCTCCGAAAAGGCTCAACAGGAAGCACACTGAAGCTTCTGAAGATGCTCCCAGGATTGTTTGGCTATCTACGATGTGTATCCAGTGTGCAACCTCAATGCGGCAATGCTTCTCGAAGTACCTTCTAAGACGGCTTGCGAAGACAGCTCCACATAACTCTGCCTTAATCACGTCCCCTTTCTGGTTAAGGGGGGTAAGCTTGGCTTTTGACTCAACCAATCTTACAATGACTCCGTTCTGAGTTTCCCACCGAAGGTAAAGTACCGCACCGTAGGAGGCCTCACTTCCATCAGAAAACGTGACTCCCATCGGACGGCCTATAGCTCCTGGTGGTGTAAGGCTTCTCTCGAACCTGACGTGACCGAGTCTCACATACTCCTCAAAGAGTTTTATGGATGCCTCTCGGAGTCTTGGCGAGAGAGGATCATCCCAAGTATTTTTACTTGTGTTGTCCTTCCCAGCTTCTTGATAAGATTCCCTCACAAGTATCACCCCTCTTTGCTTAGCTGGTGTGGCTAGGCCAATGGGGTCGTAGAGCGCGGCAACCTGACTTAACAACACTCGACGTGTCAAGGGACTTGGGGTGTTACTTCTGACTTCATCCTCATGCAGGTCGAGTCCCGTCCTCATCTTGCCTCGCTTCTTCGAAAAGTTAATGGAAGTCATAATGCGAAGTTTGTCAGTCTCTGGTTCGTAGCCGACACCTAAAGCCTTGCTTTCTTCGTCTTGCATTTGGTTAGGCAATACCAGAGTTTTAGAACTGGAGTTGGAAGTGGTTCCTGACCTCCCACTTTGGCCAGAGAAGATCCATGGTTTGAGGGAGAAGCCTCCAGCCTTTAAGATCTCTTCTACTCCTTTGGTGATCTTTTCCAGTTTCTTGATGTCATCGTGGGATGTCAAAATGTCGTCCACATAGCTGTCTTCTACCAGAACCCGGCGTTCTCCAACCATAGCAGCGAACTGGGGCAGGTTTGCTGTTTCCCTCATGGCAACCTGAGCTATGCAGCCTGCGGGCTTATCACCGATGTTGACCCTGACGACGACAAAGACCTCAATATCATCCTCCGGGCAGTCTCTCCAGAGGAAACGGTGAAGGTGCACCTCTTTGTCCTTTAGCCAAACAGAGTTGTACATTTTCTCTCACATCTTCTGAACCTCAGAAGGACTCCTCTAATTGGATTGAGGACATCTGGACCCTTGTGCAGAAGGTCATTCAAGCTTACCCCCAAGTACTCTTGGCTGCTATTCCAAACAATCCTTACAGGAGTAGTGGTTGAGTGAGGATTAGGAGCGACTAGGTGACTGATGTACCACGTTGGTCCTTTCCAAGTATCGATTTCGCCTTTAGTGAGTTTAGCAGCAGCTCCTCTTGAAACCATCTCATGGATTTGCTCTCTATACGCAGCTTTCCATTTTGGCTCCCTTTCAAGACGTTTCTCTGTGTTCAGGAAAGTTGCCTCCACTGCACGTCGGTTGTCAGGAAGTGTTGAGGGGTCACCTTTCCATGGGTAAGCAGCATCCCAATGAGGGGTTCCGCAATGCTTGTCCGCTTGCACATAGGTGAGGCACTCTTTGATTTTTTCTAGCTCCCTTTCCTCTCCTAGGGTCATTTTTCTTTACCTCCAGGGGGACATCTACCACATTTGCAGCCACCACATTGAGGATCACAGGCAGCACCAATACTGTCCCATTTGAACCACTCAAACATTTCTTTGTTTGTAGTTGCAGCACTCCGGATGATTGTTTCTCCATTCTTCACTTGAGCTTCACCAGGCACTGCTGGGTCCACAAAGATCTCTCTGTACACCCTTGAAGCTGTTCTCATTGACCTCACAAAGTGTGTGTCTGACCTATGCACTGCAAGGTCTACTTCTTCAAAAAGCTCAGGGTGAGTTCCACCAACAGTCTTACCCAGAGGTCCATCCCAGAGGACAAGGTCTCCCTCCACTTTGATTGGCTGAGGAACCAGACGACCTTCCTTATGACTTATCAGAAGATCAATCTTTTCAGGGCGGATCAAATCCTTAGTTGCAACATCAGGGAAGAATTTTTGTAGTTGCTGCGGTGTGACTACTTGGTTTACTTTTGCAATGTTATCCAAGCCGTAGCAGAGGAGTTTGTGTTCTGTAACTGTACCTTTGGGGCTTCTTATTCTAAGCCTCAAGGTATACCTTTTAGTAGTGACTGTCTTTACCATTCCTCCAACTCCTTGGAGAATCATCTTGATATTCTCGCCATTCAACTTGAGACGCTCAGCGGCTTCAGTCGAGATGTAATTTGTATCCGATGCAAGATCGATCAACGTCCCGACCAGCTGGCCTGAGTTTGT